AGAAATTTTTCAGTACCCCCTTGTACAAAGGAGATCTTACCTTACATAGTTCCAAACTGACAAGACCAACAACAAGAGAAGTGGTAGTGGCAATAGCAGGTATAATTTTACCAGCAATCAATTTACTCTGAAATAAAAGGCAGATTATTAATCACAAACCATTTACAGAAAATTATTAAAAAAAAAAATTCTAAAGTTTTTCTTATTAATTCAAAGTGTCTTTCATTGTACAATGCAACTAGATAAAAATAGCAATAAAAAGGTTGGTTTTACAATAGGCATTATCCTTAGAAAGAGAAAACAGAAACAAAGAGAAATTAGTTTGTATTTCATGTTTTGAAAATTCTTCAAGTAAACCATGAAGAGTTATTTGAATGCACTTATCTGTTGCAAAGTCTAAACAAGTACCTTTTATTTTTAAATGAGATTTTTGCCACAAATTATTAAAATAAACTATATCTCCAATTTTTAGCAAACAACTAAGTGTTTAGTGATATACAGTGTATAATTTATTATGAACCATCTAAGTGTAGCAATACTTTCTTCTAAAAATGAACCAAAATTGCTCGAGTTGGTCATATTTCTCAAAGAAATGATTGGAAATTGAACAAAAATTCAAATGTATAAAAAAAAAGATTAAGTACTAACAATAAAACAGATTAGAATGATACTCAAAAATAAAGCCTTTTGCAAAGCTGCTAGGATAAATTCTGACATTAGTGGAAAAAGAAAATGTAAAGTTAAAATCATGCTTACAAGTTAATTCTAAACAGCATACAGAGAAGGTATGTCAGTGGATGTGCAAAATATTACCAAGAAATATTTTGTATCAACTGAGATAAGAGTAGCTTTATCTTTATTTTGCAAGTTGACCTTCAAAATAAACTGGAATAATTACATGAGTTTTTATATAAGACAAGAAAATTGAAATTCTAACCTTGTGCTTGTCAGCAGGTGGGATATCATAGTTTTCTGCTCTTAGGTTAGAAGCAGCTACAATAAAGTCCATGTGGAAGTTTGTGTCATCATCCTTCTCAAATTCAACTGGTGTCAACTTAATGCCTTTTAGAGATTCAGGATCAGGCAGAGAATCTTTCATTTGTTCAATTTGCTCTTCATCTAAAAAGAAAAAGTCACTTAGAGATTTCTATGGTTAAATCCATATAATTATACATACAATCAACCATATTCCATGCTTTGCTTTCATGTTAAATCTATAACCATGACCAGAGGTCAATCAATACTGCTGAATATGATGGTACATCAAGTAGTACTACTACTAATGTAAATTGACAGATAGCAAATTCAGTGCTTACTAAATGCTTCATCATTGCTTAGTAACCAAAGTTAAATAACTTGATAATCAGGAATGACCAGAAAGATCATGAATTCTAGCAGTTGTTGAGATAAATTCTACAAACATTTGTCTTTCTACCTATCTAGTCTGTTGCCTCATGAAGAAGAAGAAAAAAAGCTTATTCTACATCATTTTCATCAAACTCCTTCTCAATGAATTTAGTAGTTAATATTAATCCCCTAAATAAAATGATACAGAATGAAAATTTCAGACCAAAATTAATCTAATGATACACCCTTACATTGCAAGACTTACTGTAAATTTATTAATAGTAATAGTCTGTATTTAGATACTGAGATACAATATTATTTTTTTAATAACCAGTTTGTTACATTATACGAGTAAAGAAATTCTTATATGGTAGCATTTTAAAGTAATTCTGAAATTAATTGAAAGAAAATTAAGCAATAATTTTATTGTAAAATGTTAAAGTTTGGTTTACAAATCCAATGTAATTAGGGTATTTCTTTTAACAGCTCTATGAAGGAACAAAAGGATGAAAGATTACATTACATAAGAGAAACATTCTACAGAGTAAAAACAAAAACACAGATGGATAGATTTGTTTCCTATGGCTTTTCAACACTACAGGTTATTAAAACCAGAAAATATTTAAATTTTAAGAATTTTATTTTTTGAGAGATATGGTTTAGTGATACAATTCATACTTATTAACACAGCATGGTGAGGGAAAGAGTTGGATTCATACTTTTCCCAATTGTATTTGCATGTAAGGAAATAATGAACCCAACAGGAATTGGAACTTGGCTCTCTGATTAAGAAAATGCAAGCCATTGTCTACTACACCAACCATACATCCAAGCTTACAGAACCTTCTATTCCCAAGCAGCCACCCAACAAGTTGCTGACTGGGCTGAATGTTGCTTAAACTCAATGATCGTATGGGAACCAGTGTTTCAACATATTGCAGCCATAAGCATTATATATATATATATATATATATATATATATATATATATGAAACACTTTTCACACCCTAAAGAGTACACTACAAGGAAGTTTGTCAATTGCTCATCATTCTGGTAATCCAGAAAAATAAACCTAACATAATGGTATAAATGTGTTTGTATGTCTATATCAAACATTAATTATAATTAGAACATGGGGACAAGGCAGAGGATCAATTGTTATATAGTTTAATAATCAAGAATTATTGAAAGTATGGGTTCAGAGCAAAAAAGAGCTTAATATTTTATAAGTAATCACAATTGCAAAATTGCTTATTTAAATTATTTAAACCAACAGACTATGCCAATCTTTACTTAGTCCAAATATTACCAATTTAAAAAAAAAAAAATAATTGAAATATAGCCTAAAAGATTAGCATATTGTTAAAATAAAAATATAATTTTTAATTAATATCTTTACCATAGCTTGCATCATTTTGCCTGGCCTGGGCTTCAGCATCGGTTACATCAATCTTCACTCCAGATTTGGGGATGAATTCTGGTACTTCCACAGCTTGCACCATGTTAGCAATAGCTTGTCTGTCACGCACCTGTTTGATGCCATACATTTCAGCACGCAAGTTGGCAGCTGCAACAATATAATCCAGATGGACACACTGAAATATAAAGCAAATCATATAATATATATATATATATATATATATATATATATATATAGAGAGAGAGAGAAAAAAATATATATACAAGACATGTCTCATTAAATAAAGGTTTGTCTACTTATTTTTAATAGAACCTTTTCACAATTATGCACAAGTTTCTTAGTAACCTTATGAAAGGAAGAAAGAAAATTACCATCTTGATGCATATTGATTTTATTCAAAGTACTTGACATCAGCACAATGCCACCATCAAGATATTGTTTTTTCTTAGAAGAAATGCATCAACATGGTAATTTTCTTTCTTTCTTTAAGAAAAAAAAAAAATACCCCCCACCCTCAAATATAATTTTTTTTTCTGTGTGTAACAATTTTAGGGTAGTGTGCAAAATTTTGACATGAGATGCATGAAAGTCAAGACTATTCACGTCCACATGCAAAAGCTACCATGCTGACTACAAAGAGACTGCTCCCTATGCTGACTACAAAGAGACTGCTCCTATGCTGACTACAAAGAGACTGCTCCTATGCTGACTACAAAGAGACTGCTCCCTATGCTGACTACAAAGAGACTGCTCCCTATGCTGACTACAAAGAGACTGCTCCCTATGCTGACTACAAAGAGACTGCTCCCTATGCTGACTACAAAGAGACTGCTCCCTATGCTGACTACAAAGAGACTGCTCCCTATGCTGACTACAAAGAGACTGCTCCCTATGCTGACTACAAAGAGACTGCTCCCTATGCTGACTACAAAGAGACTGCTCCCTATGCTGACTACAAAGAGACTGCTCCCCTATGCTGACTACAAAGAGACTGCTCCCTATGCTGACTACAAAGAGACTGCTCCCTATGCTGACTACAAAGAGACTGCTCCCTATGCTGACTACAAAGAGACTGCTCCCTATGCTGACTACAAAGAGACTGCTCCTATGCTGACTACAAAGAGACTGCTCCCTATGCTGACAACAAAGAGACTGCTCCCTATGCTGACTACAAAGAGACTGCTCCCTATGCTGACTACAAAGAGACTGCTCCTATGCTGACTACAAAGAGACTGCTCCCTATGCTGACTACAAAGAGACTGCTCCCTATGCTGACTACAAAGAGACTGCTCCCTATGCTGACAACAAAGAGACTGCTCCCTATGCTGACTACAAAGAGACTGCTCCCTATGCTGACTACAAAGAGACTGCTCCCTATGCTGACTACAAAGAGACTGCTCCCTATGCACACATGTACTGACTCAGCCGAAAGTTCAAGTATTTGCTTGTGGAAAAAAAAAAAAAAAAAAAAAAAAAAAAAAAAGGGATATAACACTAGCAGGGATACCTGGCATTGCTTGGAAGAAATAACTTCATCTTAGGTTTCATCGCTATGTTGAAATTCAATAACATGTTACTTTGTCTTGACAATCAATCTGATGCCACTAAAAGACTCTGGGTTATAGATTTCTCAAGAATATGACTGGACTGGAGGTCTCCCTTTTTCTGAAATAGATTGTGAAGCGTCAAGCCAGATGGGCGGAAGGAATTATGCACAAATCCTTGGGGGGTTATTGGCAGTGTCGCTGAGCATCTCCCATTTTTCTATTCAAAGGCACTTTATTTTTTGAATTGAATCCTTGTGTGCGCATGAGTCAGTGTTTATATTAGAGCTGTTCTAACCTGAAGAAGCCAAAGGGAGGATCCACTCTTAGAAAAATCTGCATAGATTTATCTAAGACCTAAAAGAATCGAATTTAAGAGTTCTATTTTTCAGTATAAATTGACATTCATAAATAAATGCAGATTCATGAAAGTTATTTTGACAAGAATTATACTAAGATTGAAAAAAAAAAAAAAAAAAAAATCAGAAAAGAAACTTAAATATCTTGAAATTTTTGATAAATTTTGTTAAATGTTCATAGCGAAACAACAATGATAGGCACCTACATTCTGACATTTTGCACAGGCAATGAGTGACGATTGATATCAGTTCAGTGTGGGATGTAGCAAACCTGATGCCTGTGGTAGTACATAACATGATATATTAATTTTGTAGGAATTGGGTTTCCTATCGTTATAGCATACCTATGGATGATAATGGGTATGTCCCCATTCGCATAAATACAGTAGTAAATACTGTATGTTGGTCTGCAGTTAGATTCATTGTGGAATTCACTTGACTCACTTCTAGCAGCTGACTATATTCCTTCTACGTGCTGCTGGTAAATATTATCTGTGTTGTCTGTGCCCTAAGTATTACCATTTTTATCAAACTTTGTGTGATTATTATATTCTGTAGCCTTCCTTAGGTTACAACAGCTGTGAAATAGGGTATGTCTGTTCTGGTTCTGAATAGATTAATATTCTGTGCAACATGTAACAAACAAACAAAAAAACAAAAAACAATCAGGCAGGCAGGTCTAATGTGGAGCACAATTTATTCACCCCTAACATAGATCTATGTTACAGAAGAGAAACTGAAATGACAACTTACATTTGAGATATCAAACTCTAAAGGATGTGGACAACGTTTGGGCCCAGACCAGAATGGAGCACCGGAGCTAGTTACCTAAAATACAAAAATATATATTACAATAAAATATAAGTAATACAAATAATTCATTTACAAAACACAAGTGAAAAGAAAATGTTATCTTGATAGAGAAAAGCTTTCAGGTCTATCTGGAAAATCATCTCTATTCATGAGATTGATTCATTTACTGCAGTCATGTTTTAGATTTGTTACTACACAGAAAATTGCTGTAAAGTTTTGTTTTTTTCAGGTATGTTCAAGATATATGGATTATGTTGTGTGTACTCGCGGATAGGTTGCCCCCACTGGATAGGTCACACCCCTACTTCATGGTTTAATAATTGATGATTTATTGTTGACTCGCAGATAGGTCACACTATAATCTGGGGAGTTACACAGCCACTTTTAAACATAAGAATTTAAAGATATCTACCTTTATTTCAAAACTTACAATTATTAATACACTTTTGCAGTTAAAATACATTTCTTCAATCATCATGTAAACAAAAGGAAATAACTGTTGCACTTATATTTTTATATTTACTGCATATTTTTTTTTATATCAACTTGACAAAAGAAAAAAATTTTTTTTTCCCCCTATACAGAGAAAAACCACAGCTTTAGATGGGTATCATTTCCAATTTCTCAGAATCATGTTGACAAGGTAATGTTGTTTTACATTTATGTTGAGCAGATAGGTTGCATCCCTAATATTGTGAAATTTTTGGTTAAAAAAAAAAAAAAGAAAAAAAAAAAGAGCAACCTGTTCATGAGTATATACAGTATATTCTACAAAATGTCAACAATATAAAGTAGAAATCCGCACAGAATCTGAAGAATTCTATTAGAATTATGCAGGAACAGTACAAAATCATCTAATCAGTTGGCCAAGCATAGATATTAACAGCATGTGGGAGTTATTGGCACAAATATAACTAACCGAGCGTCTAAAACAACCACTATTTTAGTAGTTTTTAGAGCAAGATGAGAGGAAAAAGGGTAGAAAATGCCACAAAAAATCCGTTTGGTACATGTTTGAGATATGGGTCAAAGATTTGTGGGAAATTAGTCCAAAGTTTGATTTTTTTTTTAAATGGTTTATCAATCTTTTTACAGGTTATTGAGAGCCAGAAAATAATTTTAGATTATTATTTCCAAAACATTCTTACAATGATTTACTTACTGATGTAAGTGATAGTTAACCCATAGCTGGAGGATGTGGAGGGGAGTTGGGGGGGGGGGAGAAGAGTGAAATTCATACCTTTCCCAAGAAGAATATAATGGAATTGGAACCCAGCTCTTAGATTTCCAATTCCAAGCAGTTATCTATTATACTACCCAAGCTTACAGTAACTGGTATTCCAAAGTGGTCACTCAGCTAGGTACTGCCCATGCTTGGTGTTGCTTAACTTTATTGATTGTACAAGAACCAGTGTTTCAGTGTAATGTGGCTGTAAGCTGTGAGTTCCAAGAATTCACAAGAGGCACCAGCAGGCTCTTTTAATTTACTGTATGATATTTACAGAATTTAGATAGTGTGACCATCTCTTGTGAGGGAGGAGATGGAAGGAAAAAATCTCTTTAATTGTTTACTATTCACTTCTGTATAATCCAAAGTTAATTTAATCAAATGACATTGCAAAATATTTTTCTAGGAAGAGAATTATGATCAATCAATTACTGAATTTTTTTTTTTTACTGAATAAAAATGAATATCTGACCTGATTAGCAGGAAAGTTGAACAGCAGTTGTTTAATTTGGTTACTGTAATTCTCTTGCCACATGTTTCTGGCCCACACAACACAATTCTCAAAGCTATTTGGTTTGTCTTCAACTAAGACTTTCTTTACAGATTCTAGGGTTTCCAACTGAAAAGAAATACAAATCATATTAAGTTAACAGCCAAATGATTTTCTTAACAATTTTTACGACACTGCAATACAGCGACAGGGGGGAGAGAGAGGAATTAATGCATTTGTGAACAAGCTCTGAAATTTTCATTAAAATTGACAATTATTTGATTTCTGCAGGTGCACTCAGTGACAAGTAAAAACAAGAATTTTAACCAAAATTTCTGAGAGAGAGAAAAAGAAAAAGAAAAAAAAAAGAAGATACTTTGGTCTTTCCTCTTAAGCATTTTTGTAGTAAAACTGTTTTAAGTTTGGGTCCTTTTTTTTTTTCATCATGGTATGCTATTTTATCAGCAAATTATTGTAAATACCCCCTTCTCTCACACACAATATATATATATATATATATATATATATATATATATATATATAAGTTTGAATATACTCAGCACCTGAAGATTGAGAGAAAATCCAAGTCATGCTACCATTATTGGATATTATGTAAATTTTCTCTCTCTCACACGTGAGTGAGAAGTTTCCCAAATTTCTAGCAGATTTTTTATGTAAGCATAGATATTAATATAGGTGTCATTTATCACAAAAAGATTAGACTTGATAGATTTTTAGCAAACTGCTTTCCAGTAACTAATGCAGAACCATGTTTTATTTTTTGTCTCCACATGCAAATTTCTGAATGTGTTAATAGAATACAAACTTACAGGTTGATTGCCACCCAGCTTCATAATTCTCTCCATAAATTTAGAGTCTGAAATATACTGAGCTGCATTTTCCATTGGCTGTTTAAAGAAACCTTCAAACTGATCTCTTGCCCACTGAAATCAAAATCAGAAAAACATTTAAGTAGATGAAACTAAAACAAAACTATTAATGGGTTTAAATTGGGAAAATATCCTTTCTTTTGTATAATATCGATATAGTATGCTTAGTGTTAAGCATAGTTCATTTCAAATTTAGTTATAAAATAAATTGACCCTTACTTATAAACAAAGAACATTTAAATTAATATGTTCGGCTAATTAAATGAAAAACCCATTTCAGAATCTACAGAATTGTCTGAACAAAGACATTAATAACAATCTATAACCAATAAATTTGTGAATCTCAAAATTGAAGACATAATAGTGCATATATTAACTATTTTTTTCTAAAAGAAAAAAAAAAAAAAAAAAAAAAAAAAAAAAAAAAATAATAATTAATGTGCCCTAAGTATTAAGTCAGGTGACATCAGAATAGACTTTGTAATTGTTGTTCTTTACAGGATATTTTTATTATGAAATCAGCACATAGGAACAAAAATTTTATGCAGGAAAGAGTGGGATGTAGTTTTGCCTTTAATCTGAGCAAATTCCTAAAAAAAAAAAATTCAATAAATGATAATCAATATGGTAAAGATGGTTACATGTGTTATAAGATTATTTCCAATGCTACCAAATTTCAGTTTTATTTGTAACCTTGTAAATAAGAAAATTCACAATTAAAATGGAAATTTTCCTCTTTTCTTTTGAGCTGAAATGTAAGAAAGTAAAAGGCTACTTTACCTGCAGAGTATGCTCTATAGAGTTTGGGAAATTCTTTAAAGTGCAGATTGGAATGGATTTTTCTGGTGGATCTTGAGATGATGAATAAGATTCTGTTAAATGAGGAATCACAACCTGAAAAAAAGAAAAACAAAACATTAGAAGACAAAAGAAAAAAAAAAAAGAAAATTAGTGTTCATATAAAAAGTTACTATGTCAAATAAATCCAATGCAGTCATGATATACACAAATTTAAATGAAATATGCATTTTACTTGCCTGAACATTTCCTTTGGTACCCAAAGTGCCAGATTCCAACAAAGGTTTACGATAATAAACACATCTCCTATCCATGTACATTCCTAGGTAAAGAGCAGAGGAAAAGTCATTTTAATAATACCAACATATGAAATATTAAATTTAGTTTTAAAATTAGCTTTTGGTTAATAATAATAAATAAAAAAAAATATTAAAACATTTTTCTTAAGTCCAGTCAAAGAATTATGAAATACTGAACATTAAATTAATTTATACTAGCAATATAGAATGGTTAGTACCCAGCAGAGCTGATTTCAAATTTAGTTATAAAATAAACAAATAATGTTTCCTTTGCTGTTGTGCGATGCAATTACTGAGAAATTTGCATACGCCAAAAATGGAAATAATCAAAACTGCCATAATTAAAGCAATTTGATAAGTTGAAACATTGATACTCTATTGTGTATATGAAATGTCATGATATAAATTAAAATAATTGTTAAATTGGCAAGAAAAAAAAAAAAAATTAAAAAAAAAAAAAAAGTCAACACTATGGCTTCTTTTTGGTCTCAAAATAAATGCTAAGGTGATTACCACATTCATGACAGGGTAGAAAATAGCTTTTAAGCAATTCACTTATAAAAAGTCAGCAACCGATTTATAAAGATAAGAAAAGCAATTTAAAAAAAAAGTTACTGAAAATACAGACCAGTGAATGTTGATTAAGGGAGATAACTAAGTTCGGTAAAATATATGAAAACCTTGAAGAGAGATGATAAAATTACATTATGCTTCGTTTGAGGGTTTGCCCTTCTCAACCAATACCTCCCCTACCAAGGAAGAGGAGAGTGCGTGCGTGGGGGGTTGGGGTTGGGGTGGGGTGGGGTGGGGTGGTGTTTGGATAAAGGCTGATCTCTGATGAACAAGGAATCTCAACAGAAAGATAGGAAATTAATTTTTGTCACCAACCTCATTTATGTGTGAATTTCCCCACTTCTAAAGAAGGCCACATGCTTCATTCAACTTCAGTGAGCATGCATTATATATATATATATATATATATATATTATAAAAAACGGTATTTTTTTTTTTTTTTGACAGAGAGCATCTGCCTTATAAATGGGGAAAGTACATTTCTTGTTTTTCTATGGAGCAAAGATTATTTCTAGAAGAAATTGAAGCCTTAGTATTATTACTAATGTCAGTGATAAATACATGTGTGCGATTCGTTTCTAATGTATTAATTTGACTATACAAAAATATTTTTAAAAAGAAAAAGCATATTTATTTACTGTTTTTGAAGAGAAACATTATGAACTTAGTGAAAATCACCAATGGTTTAAGATGCTGAAGATGTTACCTTCAATGAAAGGTTACAAAATTCAAAATGCATAATCATTGCTTACATATGCAGTTATGGATGAGTGAATAAGTGAAAAATTACAACATTAGGCATGCCACTCAGAAAAGCCAAACAAGTATCTGTTTGCCCATGACTGTATTAGATAAAAAGGAACAGTCTGGTGCAGTAAAATAATATTTGTCATAAGCTGTTTTAAATGACAATAGAGAAAGTACATTTTGATTACAGAAACATTTACTTGAAAGAAAGTGACTTACTGGCATCAACATTATCCAAAGCATTAGCAACACCATCTAATTCCTCAAAAAAGTCATCTGTGTAGATATTTTCGGTGTCTGGTCCAACACGGTTTTCATGTGGCGTGATTCTGAGGTTAGGATTCATTTCTTTAACAGCAGTAGCTGCACACTGTGACTTAGATTTCTGTATGGAGGGAAATTCAAAGAGAAAAGTTAATTTATTCTTACTGCAAAGCTTATAAAACAACTGGTTTAAAAATAATTTTTAATATGTTCTATAAACAAAACTATAAATTATGTACAAGTGATTTTTTTTCCTTTTAGTTACTTTATATTTTTAAGCTCATAAAAAAGTCTAGTTTTCAGTGTTTTATCAGTCAATACCTGTGTATATGAATTTCTTTGCTTTTATTGATCCTACTTATTAGGTAAATATGAATTTAAATTCAAATGAATTTGATTTCCATTTCAGTTAAAAACAAAAAATTTCTAAGATGGACAAAGGGAGCTAATTTTGTTGAAGGCTAAAACTGAATGCAGACCTGGTTATGTTACACATTTTGTGTAGCATTTTACAGTTTGGAGTTCTACTACACTTGAAAATTTTGAATTATGCACTTTAATTCTTACTGCTACTCATTTCAGTTATCAAGACTACTCATAATTTGTGGGCGTCACAAAAATTCTTGACTGCTGCACATTTCCTGTGAAGTTAAGTTTTAATGAACAGAAAAACAAATAGAAATTTTAACAAAATAACTACACATTTTAGCTACTCCTACTACTCATGGCTTTCATTGCACATGGCACAGTGATGTTAACATTTTTTCAGTTCATCTAATTTAGCCATCATCTACTCTTCCAATATTGATCTCTATGGATTTGTCTTTTGCAGATCTTCACATGGCATTGGACATTGCAAGAAGTGTGAAGTTCTGAGTTTGGTCAGCTTTTCTCTGCACAGCTGTCAGCTGACTTGAGCAAATCTTGTGTGCAACTTTTAAGGTTGTTTTTTTGGTCTTCAGTTCTTCAAAAAAATCATAAGCATGAATTTGTTTTTGTCCAGCTGCTTCTTCCTGCCTTTTCCTTCTCAGCCTCAAAGTATTAGTTGCATGCTGCTGTTCTGGCATTGGAAGCACTGCAAAAAAAGAGCCTTAGCCATGGAAACATTCCCAGTACCTCCAACTGTGGCCAAATAGTCTGTGATAATGTGCTGTGTGACCAGAGTATGCAGTTTCATATTGTCAGTGGAAATTTCCTTATTGACTGAGAAACCTATTTCCACTGAAGCCTAAGTGAGTCTTAGTAATCTGCAAACAACTTTCCACAGTTTGATTGTGTTGCTAGAAGAGTAGAACAAAGTGTCCAGATGCTCTTCATGCTTATTGAAATTCTTGAAAGCAATATTTTCAGAAGCCTCCTCTTTAAACATGTACTGACTAATGATGTCATCACAATCAGACTTGGGACTTTCATGCTGGAAAGACAGTCTTCTGTGGTAGATTTTTTTTTTCTTCATAAATGGATCCAGGGTTCAGCCATGCAAGTGTGACCTTACAAGAGTATCTAAAGGGAGACGTTGCCAAAAGTTTTCTCAATGATTGTTGCATGCAGAATTGCAACAAAGACAAAGATCTTTTGTTGAAATTTCCTTTTTGCATAAATTTTTCATAGTCCAATCTGCCAGAAATCCACAGCATCTTTCTTTATGCATGTTTGGGTTTGACAAAATTCTTAAATTTATTCAGTTTGGAAAATGTAATTATCTTATTAGTATGATCTTCCTTTACAAATCTTAACAGTTTTGTGATCATGCTAAAAAGACCATTTGCAAGGAAAGAAGCAGCGGTTTATCACTATATTTTATCAGAAACGGTTCAATATCTTTTGAAACAGACACAAAAATATGCAGTTTCACTGGAAATAAAACGGCATTTATGTTTGACAGCACTGCACAGAAGGATTTGGCCTGGAGGACATTTTTTTTTTTTAAACAGAAAAAAGTCCACAAATTTGATGACATCTAGCCAAATGTCTCAAGAGTTGTTCACATTTGTACATTTTCTAGCCATCTATGTCAGAAATACAAAAGTAAAAAAAAAAAAAAAAAAAAAAAAAAAAAAGGTACAGGGTTGCCAGATTGAAATTTTACTATAAAACTAAGCAATAAAAAACCAAAAGTTTTAATATATTTCATGATTTTTTCACGCTTGCAACAAAAGCTAGATACAGGTCATACAAACAAACTTAACAAAACAAAAAAAATAATTCTTATTTTTTCAAAAGATGCATTTTCTATCTTATCCTAAGATACAACAAAGTCATTTTCTATCATGCTTCTTGTCAACATTTTCTCAAACCTGTTACTTTTGGCAACAATTTAGACAAATGTAGTTTACACATCGATGCATGTTGAAATGAGATGCAAAGTATCTATTTTTATTCAGTATGCTGATAAGAGATCAAAAGGACTTTTTACTTTTGAAATTGACATGTGAATAACATTTCAACTGTAAAAAAAAAAAAAAAATTTTTTTTTTGAGATTCTACTAAAATGTATTTTATTCATGTAAAATAATTATTTTCCTTTCAGCTACAAATTCACTGAGTGTTAATTTATCTTTGACAGATATTTTTCCCTGATGCCTTTTTAGCTTTGAGTGAGAGTAGCAACTAGAAGTCATGCCTCCATATTCTCTTTCTTTCTTATCAATTAGACGAGAAAATACAGAAGTAACAAGGCCATGAACTCGTTCTAATCAAGCAAGCAAGCAAGCAAAAAAAAAAAAAAAAATTTTTCTAATTTCAATTTTAACTAGTAAAAAAAAAAAAAAAAAAAAAAAAAATTTATGGGATTTGGTATTTTGACTGTCAAGAATTGAGAAAAGAGGTGTGGACAGTCCAATTTAGATAATTCCAGGACTTTTCAAGACCTGTAAAAGGCACTTTCAATTTTCCAGGAGCTGTATGACCCCTGCACATATAATAGTCTTATTCTATCAATAATATTTATGTAAACTGCTGATTTTTCAATGTCAGAATTTAAAACAAATTTATGCAAAGATTTCAAAACTGGATGACTAAATCATCACATTCTCCATTTAAGTGGGTAATAATGTTACCATACACCAAGTTTGCAAGATGATCTAAAATATAACTCTTTTAACGACCTATAAATAGACCTGTGAATATTTTAAAGCTGCTTTCCAGCAGAAAAGTTTCTTTTAACAAGCATACATTTGATTGGCACAAGGTCACAATAGTGGAGCACTAACAAGGATCAACCTTAAAATACTGACAAGTCAGGTGTCTAAATATTAAAATTTGAATCCATATTCACTATACATGCATCGGATGTCAAATACATTATAGGAATTTTGACTTGTTTATTTACTAAATATAAGCTTTTGATATTTACTGCACTATTGTATGTATTGATCAGAATAGATGAAAGTTTTGATACAACTTCACCTGTGATGTCACACTCAGTGGAATTAAGTGAAAAACAGTGAGGAAAAGAAAGAAAAATTTTTTTTTGAGAAACAAAAATGTAATAACTGAAAGGCAGAAGAAATGCCCTTCAAAAAAAAAAAAAAAAAAAAAAAAAAAATTCTTGTAAGTAGGTATCCATCTGCTTATTGAATTTACAAGCACACATATCAGGTTTTTTTCAGGTGAATAGCAGATTAATGGATTCATTTTCTATGGCTTAATCCTCTGCAGGTTATTTAAAGCCAGAAAATATTTTGAGAGTGTAAAAAAAAAATTTTTTTTTGGAGATAATGGTATAGTGAAACAAGTCTTACTAATTAACCCATAGGTGTAGAGGAGAAGAGGTGGATTAATACCTTTTCCCAAAGGTATTTGTATGTAAATGAATACAACAAGCCCAATGGGAATGGAAATATCCATTACACCACCTGCATATCCAAGCTTACAGCACCTGGTATTCCCAAATGGTTACTCATCTGGGTACTGCACAGATTCAACATTCAGTGATTGTAAAGGGACCAGTGTTCCAATGTGATATAGCCATAAGCCGTGAACAGCACAAATATGAATGACAGGAATCGTACAAGCAGAACAGTCATTACAGCATAAAACCAGACAAGTCTTCAAGCCAGCTGAAGAATTGTCATGAGACAAGATGTTCACCATTTAAAGTTATATTTTGTAACTAATAATATATCAATTTATTTTATAAGAAATTTATATTTTTTGATTCATATTTCAGTTGCTTTTCATTATAATTAATCAGCCATTAGAAAATAAGATAAAAAATCAACTGAAGTTACAAAATACTAGTTAATCATCTGACATCGCTTCTCCTAAGGAAAGAAAATTAAAGATAAGTAGCCTATATTATTTGTTAAAACTTTAAATTTGTTATTTTGAAGAGACTGCAAGCTTTAACTTACCTGCACATCCCAAGGTCGGAAGAGGAACTGTCTATTCAAATTGGATTTCTCGATAAGATCCATATCAGTGACATAGACATGTCCATTGCCACAAGCAAGTCCCATCAAGGACCAGTTTTTTAGAATCTCACAGCCAATAGCACCAGCTCCAACCTGAAAAGTTAAAAAAAATACTCAATATTAATTCTTAGGATAGTTTACTCAATATGGATCCAAAATGCTCAAGCAAGCCATTGTTACTAGCTCAAGTACTTTTTGCACCAGTGGGGGGGACATTATTTTTAATAAATAAAAATATAAAATAATAATATAAATAAAAAATAAAATAAAACCAAAGTAATAAAAGTTCTCCCAGCATGCAACGGAAAACTTTCCTGCATGAGAAATGGATTCTTTGTGCTTAAAAATGTTTGCCATGGACCATTTCCTCTCCTCAGCACCTTACTTGTCATAAGACAAAGTGAATTCCTTCTATTAATGGAAACTTAAAACACATACACAGAAATAAATAAAATAGGATTTTTATTTACAATTTAACATACTTTTAGCGTTATTTCTTTGTATGTGAATTCAAGGCTACCTCTGCTGGTATGATGTGAGTGACCTCACACACCCAAGCTAATAACAATGAGGCCAACATATAGACAAATTTTTCTACTAATGTAAACTTTATTTAATCAAGTAATGCATATGATAGGTTAATAAGTATGCTTAATTAGCCAATTTTATTTAAAAAAATTTAAACCCACCATAAACTCATTTTAAATTACAAGTTTAAAAGAAATTATAAAAACACTTGTTGGCCGTGAAAATTTTGCACAAAAATATCAGTGATAAAGAAACAAATGAAAAAGTAATTGTTTTTATTTAAGACACTAATTGATGGTCACATTGCACTAATCATACTAATTGAATACTAATAATGCTAATTGTTTAAATCTCAAGACTTATGTTTGATGAGTTAGGTTCATTGAAAGAAAGAAAGAAAGAAAAAATTTGCATAAACTTTTTTTTTTTTTTTTTTTTTACAGCAAAGACATTTTTAACATACTAGTCTTAGTATATCAGAACTAAATTTACTAAATAAAAAGAACCATGCTTATTAAATTTTTTAATTACTACAAATGTACCAACAATGAAATTCTGTGTTTCAAGCTATGGAACAAACAAAAATAAAGATATAATCCTAGAGATGTATAAAGGTAAAAAAAACAATAGGAAAACTGTATTATTAGCCAATGTGTTTCGTCCAATGTGGACTTTTTCAAGGCAAAAACAAAATGAATTTATTAAAACAAAGTAACTATTAACAAAACAAAATGTCTTTAGCAACTAAAAGAATTTAGAAAACGCTATTGCATTCATATTGTCAACTGAAAATTACGCTGAGTACCGTCACGTGTGGAAATATTGGTTTTATTGTTGTGCTGACAGATTCAACCATTTTCTTTTGATTTCTTGATACAGTTGTGTACGTTTGTTTGGGAGAGTAGTAATTTTGTGAGGAAAGGTGATATAGGGAAAAAAACCTGGGCATAGATTAATATTCAATGGTGGCACTTTTGAGGATTTTCCTTCTGAGTGAGTTATTTTCTTTTTTTTTTTTTTTTTCCTTTCTTTTTTTTATGAGTGTAGCATTTTTAAAAATCAAAATTGTGGTTGAATTTATTTCTATATATGAACTAGGGCAGTAGTTTTTTTTTGTGAGGTCTCTTTTGTGCTCATAGATGCATTTTTTAAAAATTTCTGCTTGTTTCTCCAATATATTGGGTGGAATAGTTTTGGCAATTTATTTTATAAATGCCTGCTTCAGAAATATTATTGCTATCAGTATTTGAGATCCTAGAGATATAGATAACTTGAGAACTATATTCAATTTTGAAATATCTTCTTTTTCAATCCTATTATTTTAAAAAGGTGATACAGAAAGACAAAAGTAGAGATTATATAAAAATTTATCAGACACCACTATAACCAATGTTATTTCTAACAGGACTGATCTTTAATAACCTTTTAAAACCAGCATAATTAACAGAATACCTAATTCTACCTGCATTCACCATAAATAAAAGATGATCAAAGTTTTCTTTTTTTTTTTTAATTTAGTGTTGTAGCCTAGGGAAGGTTACTGAATAGAATAATCACACAAAGGTTGGTAATGAATGATAATACTTAGGGCACGAACAACACACATAAGATTTGTTAGCGGTGTGTACAAGTAGTCATTTACTAGAAGTCAATCAAGTGAATTTCACAATGAATCTCCAAATGCAGACCCACATACAGTATTTACTACTGTAAACATGTGAATGGGGACATACCCATTATTGTCCACAGATAGGCTACAACATCTAGGTAGTTTCATATTCAGAAATTACATCGGATATACTAATGCCAGCTTCAATCATTAAAATTTTATTTAAAGATTTTCCTTACAATTCCACATATTTCCGGATTTGTAACAAAATAAGTTTTACTTACTTGACACAGCTGTTTGAGGTTTCCTATAGCCCCACTGAACTTAAAGTCAATTCAGGTTTCCTATGGTAAAAATTTTCTTTCCCAAGTGAAAATCATCGCAAAAATGGCAAAAGTCATTTTGTCACAGCTTCTCTCAAAAAATGGATTTTCATACTTTTATAGGGGTAAAATATTGAAAAATGACTTTTTATCATCACCTAAACTAATATCAAGGAAACTTGATCTGAACCCCATGAAACTAGGTATTTTCTGAAAGCAAAGGATACATTCTTTCATTTAAAAGTAAAATTGGCTGGTGTAAATGACTCAAATTTTTTTTCAGTGGGTAAAATGTGAAAAAAATAGTGAAAATTTTGCATTTTTTTCTTGTTCTAAACAAATATTTCCCCCATTAATGGGAAATTAACCTTTTTTTTTTTTGTTTGAAAATCAGAAAGCCTAAATCATAATCAAACTACTTCAGGCATAAAATTGAGAGTTTTGAAGGAAATCAACATTCCTAGGGGTTCAAAATGCGACAAAATCCATTGTTAATTTTCAATTATATGACTGCCAAGGGTTAAAAAAAAAAAAAAAAAAAAAAAAAAAAAAATTGACACCCGGCCACGGAAGTCTTTAGTAAAAGGCAAGAGATTTATCTGCAATTCCTAACCACCAGAAACCAAAAGCCCCCCCCAATAGTGATAAGGAAAATTAAACCTAATTGGACTTTGACGTCTTGGTCAAAGGTCAGCCAGCCAGCCATAAACGGCAAGCCTTAGAACAAGTTGTAATAAAACCCACCACTCCCAGAGTGAAAAAAAAAAAAAAAAAAAAAAAAGGGGTTCACCATTACTAGGGCTTGATATAACCTATGTTTGAACAATGGCTTGATGAGTTTTGTTTTGTTTTTAACACCCCATGACCCGGGTGATGACAAAAACACTTAGCAGACGACATATCTTTTGTATTTCCCAGTCCATTTAGCCGTTCCTTTTATTCAATGATGTTCATGCCAAATGAAAGAGAAAGGAATGAATTTTGAATGATGTTATTTTGAAGCGAAAATAAATATTTTTTCATTAAAAAAAGGGGATTTCTCTCAGAAAATTGGGCATAATTTCTTAATGCTAACCGCCAAGTGACATTTTCCACAGCCAAATCGAAGATTTATTACCAGTGAATAATTCCATGTGCAAACAATAGCCGTCTGGATCCTATAAAGTCGCCCTAAAAGGTCCAGAAGTTTACTAATTGATCGAAAACCTGTTGCGCATAACTGTATTTTTCACGGTCAGTTTCCATTATTTCATCTTGATATCATTTTTGGACAGCCAAGTCATCAAGGATTCAGGAAAACACTTTGGCATAGGTTTTCTTTAAGAACTTGACATTCTATGAGGTGTTTAAAATGTTACAGACGAATGAGATTTTTTTGCCGAATATTTCGTTTACGCGCCATGTTGGATTTTCCTATATGACAGAAACAAGTGTTTTAAACAGCCATGTTGACCTACATAAGTAAACTAATATTAAGAGAAGTGAAAAATCTTACCAAAAAGTATTTCAAGTCACCAATAACTTTTTGGAACTTATCCCCAAACAACATGATCTGTCCATCATAACGGCAGTTTTTCTGAGGGAGAAAAGAAAACAATAGTATTAGTAAAGAAAAAAAACAAAAAACCCCAAAACTCAGAGTTTAATGATTTTTATGCAGATAGCATTACAAAATACAAAAGGTTAATTGTTTAGTCTTTAAAGATTTGTCAGGATTCACCCACTGACTAATAAAATTGGTTTTAAAAAGCAAGCAATTTATGAATTGTTAATACCCCCCCCCATATCTTAATCAAATATGGTCATTATTTTGACAGTAAAGACACACATAAAATTTATTATGTAGTGTAACTTACAGGCTGACAAGACTCTTCTGTCAGTTCATCTCCAGATTCCCCTTCATGAAGACTTTCCAATGAATCAAAGTATAAGAATTGATAGATAGGCATAAACTTGCCACTGCATGCCTAAAAAAAGAGAAAGAAAAAATATATCACGGGCTGAAATTAAAATTTTTTTTTTTTTTTTCAATGCTTATCATTAGGTTCTGAAACCTTCACAACTGTTACAATTTCAAAATTAAAAGCTAATCAGCAATATTTTTTCATGTTACTCCTATTAGTTACATAATTTAAAAAAAAAACAAAACAAAAAAAAACACATGAACGAGAAGAATACGAATTTCAACAATGATCTTATCAATATGTCCTGTGGTATTAGAAGTTTTCATTAACTCACCTTCATTACTTCCTGAGCAGTAATACCTCCAATGAATGCTTGCATTGGGCAAATGTCTCCTTGGGCTTCATAAGAAAATTCAGTTAAAATATCTTCATTCAAATCAATCTTGTTTGAAGAACTGTTATTTATTTCCTTACAAATAGTCAGGAACTTTTCTGCATCTTCCTAAAAAAAAAAAAAAAAAACTACATTAGATAGTAATTTAGAAATGCCTTTATTTCTCCGTCATAAAAAAAATACTTCTTTAAATAATGTAATCAATCATCGATACAATAAAAACAAGACTCCAATAAATTTCAATAATTAGTTGAATTTCTATAGATTTTCAAAGTATGGACATATCAGACAAATCTATTGACAAAACAAAATCATTTCTATGTAAACAATAAAAAAAAAAAAAAAATTATATTTTCTAATTGTTGGTTTATTAATGGTGTTAAGTTTCTGAAAATTAAATAACTTGCATTTTAAATATATTTTATGTCCATGGATAGTATTCTTGTAAAAGTCCATGAATTTGTAACAACTTACTTTATTTCTTGGTCTGGGAGGAGAACTGTTTGCCTTCACATATTCATCAAGTGCTTGGAATGCTAAATGCAATAAGGCAGGACGATCAAACTTAGCAAAGTCAGTGGGGACAAAGTCAAGATTTTCCATAGCTTGTCTCAGTGGTTTCTATAAAATTAAAGCAGATTAAAGAAAATTTAGGTAGTTCTTTGTAATGTCATTATTTAACAATGTATATTAAGGATAACAATATACCACTACAGGAAAGAGTATAAAGAGAATAGAGAAGAAAAAGAAAAAAGGTAAAAAAAGTCATAAAATTCAACAGGTTTCCCCACTCACAAGACATTTGATAAGATTACAAAGCAACATACATAATTTTAAAAAATATTACTTTTATATTTGTGCTAAATACTGACCAAGACTTTTCGGAAGCAAATTGTTTACAGATATTCTTTATTTTTGAGAAAAGAAAACATTGTAAATGAAGTACCATTTTTAGTAAACTATAGGTTAGCGGATGATAAACTGCCACTTTCAATATATATTCTGATTATGCTGTTGGAACTATCAATCTTTAGGTAAGGAGAAACTACACAGTGGAAAAGACCAATTTATGGGAGATAATAATAGCTTGACATAAGATTTTAATTCTTTTTTACCCAAAAACAGACTCCATTTACCAAAAATAGAGGAAATGGAACAAGGAGATAGATATATATATATATATATATATATATATATATATATATATATATATATATATAGATGAAAAATTACTTCACTCCAAGCAAGATGATAATACCACTAAGACAAGGAGTTACTGGGAAGGAAAGAAGTTTTTAGTGAGGAGAAAGGACAATAAAAACAAGAGGATTCAGGAAGACAGAAAATGGTGATTGATGTTGCATTTAAATTTATGAAGATTGTAGATAGTAGAGAAGCAAGAAACTGGAAAAGAATCCCACAGAAAAGAAACTATTAGAATAAATAGAACTGATGGTTGCATCTAGTTAGTTCAACAGAAAAATGGTGAGACATAGTTGCCAATTTAGTCACATGCTTAAATTCATGAAGTCAAGGAATCAAGGAAGAAAACTCATCAGAACAATTGGTCATGAAAATATTTGTAGAAAAGACAGAGGGAAGCCAGGCCACATCAATGAGAGTGTCTGAAGTTGAGATGCTAGGTCAGGATCAATTACATTACATACTCTTTGAATTTTGTCGATATATATATTTCCTTTGGTGTAGACAAAACAGTGCTCAATGCAAAATAACAGAGCTATTAAGGATATATTAATAAATATACATAATAGCCCATGCCAACAGTAAAACTCAGAATTTCATACACTATGCAATCATAAAAATGATTACATAGTGCATGAAACTAGAGCCATACCGTCGGCATGGGGTGTGTGTATATATATATAATATATATATATATATATATATATATATATATATATATATATATATATATAAAAGTAGGACCAAACCAGATTGGACAGCAATGTTCAATGCATGGGCAAATGGTAGATTTATAGATGTGTATGATGGGTTCTCATGGGAAAAATTGTCTGGCATGACACAGTGAACCAACTTTCCTAGCAGTAGACGTAGCAATTGATTCAATATAATCAATCCACTTAATGTCAGTGGAAGATGCGAGCACAAGGTGCAAAGAATTGTTTTTCTGGAAGTTAGCACCAGCCATACTGATGGCAAGCAGAAAAGATTCTCTATGGTGATTAAATGAAAGTTTTGTTTTGGAGGTGTTAAAATTTAGATGTCAGTCCTTGCCCCAGTTAACCACTGATTGGGGGTTCTTTTCAAGAGCAGTTGACAGTTTTATTTTGTTTAACAGGTCTGACTTGCTGCTAAGACAGGAGTAAATAGTGTCATCAGCATGAAATTTCTACTTGGGAATTTAGATTAGGAAGGTCATTTGTGAGGATAAGAAGCAATGTAGGTCCAAGGATAGAGACCTGAGAGAACCCCACATTAATGTGAAAGAAGTGGGTCTGTTCAACACTATCTACATTACACGTTAGGAATGATTGGGTTAAGCCAAATATTTGTCCAGAGACTCCTCAATCCTTGAGTATGTGGAGGAGGCCAGGATGCCAAACTGTCTAGTGCTTTTCAGATATCTAGATGTCACAGCCTGAGTTTTGCCATTCTTATCTAAAACTTGATAGACAAATTTAGTGATAGCTATTAACACATTACATTCAAGTTTGTGTCTGCATTATAAGAAGAGTATAGGTAGAAGTGGGGTTGAAAATAATTTACCTTCATACCATGGAAAATAGGATAACGCATGCCAGTAATAATGTTTCAAAGCCTTCTCTTTATTCTCTAATTGTGATTGCTAACAATTGCCACAACATATTGGAATAAACATGCATGTGGATTACTTACGAAGTCAATCTTTTTTGGCATTTTCACTTTGGTCACGATACCACCACGCACATACTGTGTGTAACTAGCAGTATCTCCAATACTGAATGTGTATGGTCCTGAAAACATAGTATGTAAAACAAAGAAATACTGGTTAGAAAATTTTATAAACCATTTCGTTGCCAACAGAAAAACATCTTTACTTATTAGATAGTTTTTTTTTTTTTTTGTCAACTATTAATTTCTGGGCAGCATTTCTTTCATTTTAATTCACACATTTACTCTATGGATATCAGTGAAAAGTGTGGATCAGAAAGAAGAAAACAAAAAGGGGGAAGAGGGGGATAAGAGCCCTTATTTCTCATATCAAAATGTTTAACTATTTCAGCCAATAGTTAAGTGCACAAAATTTATTGCTAAATATTTACAAAGTAATAATTTTGACTAACAAGTCATATCAGGAGTTCTATGTCTGCAAAAAATGATGGGCTAGTTGATAATTTTGTGAAGATTATAACTAGTGATGGGATGATTAATTGGAATTGAGAATCGGAAACATTGGAATTTTTAGGAGTGTCAGAATCAGAATTTTTAACCTAATTTCTAATTCCAAAAACAATTCTTTGTATTTTTTTTTTTTTCTTTCTTTAAAACTTAATTTTTCTGTCACTGGTAATTATGAGGAAAAGATAAATATTTATTGATTTTAAACTATCAGTAAAACTAAAATCTATAGATTATAACACCTAAGTATGATGCAAATTATTTCACTTGTGGTTATTTTAAAATTCAAATTTTCAATTATTCCTAAGTAGAAATTAAAAATACAATTCCGTATAAGGAATTTCAATCAGCACTTAATCCAAAGGATAAAGGGTGGTGGCAGGAGTTACTTTTCAATCACCCTGTATATTGCATTCAAAATATAAAAAGTGATGATGTTTTTCAATGGTGGAATTCAAATAAAAATGAATTTCCCATCATAGCACCTTTAGCCAGGAAATATCTATCAGCACCTACATCTTCTGTTGAAAGTGAACGGTTATTTAGTATTGTTGGTAACATTTACTTAAGAAAAAAAAAAAGGCTGATAGGCAAAATGGGAGAAATGATAATGCTTTTATATTATAATTTAATAATTTTAGGATTTAAATAAAAAAAAAAAAAAAAAAAAAAAAAAAAAAAAAAATTGTTATATGAAACCATGATGGCTTGTAAGAATGAAATTTTAAAATACAAAGTCTTCATTTTGACAGCATTTGCTAAGTCTGCACCTAGTGAATGTTACGCATTCAATTTTTTTTTTTTAAAAATGAAAATGTAAAATATACTGAGAATTTATTACAACCAGTTAATAAAATCAAATGATATTAATAAACTTAAAGTTCCTAGTAAATCATAGGCAATATTTTCCCAATTTCAAAATTTCAAGTAACAACCATCCCATCATAATTAGTAGCAAAACCTTATCCTAACAGAGAGGGTGACAAAAGACCGAAAGTATTGTTGGTAATAAAATTAGCTCAATTTCTCCAAATTGATTATTAGATCCAAATATGATTGCTGCAGTCGCAAAGCATTATCATTTTCACACATAATGGAAAAAAAACAACAACCAAAATACCATCATGTTCATATTTAATGCTGCAATATTTTCATCTATAAAGAAATTACTAATTAATATTCATGGTAGAAAGTAAAGGATCGTTTTGACATTTACTGTACATTTTTTTCTGTTTTTGTTTCAATAATTATTTTGATTTTATGTTGAAAAACCTTTATACTTTTATACAGTAATACAACAATCTTGTTCTTTCCACAACACATTGTAAGCTAATGTCTGATATCTTTTTTGAAACACTGTAATGCATCATTGCTCATAATTCTAGTCATCATAATCTATGTCATTTGTCAATAAAAATATTCATTTTAAAACCTTTTGTTTATTTTTATAAATATTTTAAGATTTTACATTAATATTACTTTTTACGAACAAACAAAATTTTTTTTTTTTGCAAATTCAAGACTGCCATGGTGCCCTCATTTTTTAAGGGGTTCACTAGGACAATTTTTGCCTGCCCTTATCTTAGGCTAAACACCTCCCTATATATGTTCACCAGTAACGTTATAATTAAATACAAGGTCAGTTCAGAAAGTATACAGCCATTTAATATTGATCATGAAATAATAATCTCCTTCAAAGCACCCACCTTGAAACTTCACTTATCCCAGTGTCACTCCCTCTTTTTAAAATGGCCAAATTCTTTTCATCAGCTGTCTCAATGTGGCCTTAATTGCATAGATGGTTTTTCAATGTAGATATGTGTTTGGGAGGAGGGGGAGGGAGGAAACAGTTGCAGGGAGTGAAGGAAAGGAGAACTGCACAAGACATGAAGAATGTACTCGCTAGGCCATTGGGTATACAGCTGGCACACTATACACAAGCATATCCAATGGGCCATTAAGATAAGGGCCAGAGAGACCTCACAGCTTATAAATCGACATTCTCTTGTAATGTGTGTGCGTGTGTATATAAAATAGCTGGCCACTCGTATTCAAAGATACCCATCTATTAGGTTGGCTAGCCAATCCCTATTGCAGACGCTCGCTCAGGCACATTTGTGTTTGTTCAACACCCACAAAGCCAACCTGTGGCATGGTTTTTCAGGCACTTTCTAAAAAGTGCAGTTCACTGAGATTGCCCCCTCCAGACCGATAACATCAGGAAGTCTACTTCCTGGCAAATCAACTGGGGTGAGATTTGAACCTGTGTCTTATGGTCAGAAAGCGAACATGGCCATGCGCCCATATACATACACACAAATTTCTTCTACAAATCACTTCTTTGGCTATTCAAATTTATAACACAAATAGATCAATCACTATCAGTGGCAATAACAATTTAATCATTAAAATGCATGTGGAAAAAGAATAAATTTTTGGCTGTGTGTATTATCATTGTACGGTGATATTACTGATTTTTATAGCCTCCACACATTGGGGGTGTCGGTAAAAAAAAAAAAAAAAAAAAAGTCTTATTATCACTGTCCGATGATATTTTTTTTATTTTGATGTTTTCACTGAGAATCTAAAATAACCCAACTAGAATTTGAACTGAGAGAAAAAAAATTCTGCTGAAACTTATATTTTAGAGCTATTTCACTAATCAATTTTGTACAATTTACAAAAAAGAGGAAATTTATATTAGTATACACAAGAAATGATGATTCACACTGGTTAGAGCAAATTAACAATTACTCACCCAAAACTTTGATTTTAATAGGATCAGTACCATTGACCTCCGTCATTCCTTGTACTTCAGTGAAACTAACAAAGTCACCATCTTCATAACCATGGCGAGCTTCATCCAAGCATGTAACAACACCTTCAGAATCCTGAGAATCAATAACAAAAATAAAGTCTATTAAAAGGAAAAGAAAGTCATGCTTTGAAGAATATAAACAGCTGGTTCTTGAACAATTAAGAGGCAATATATACATAAATCTTCGCCACAGTAGCAATTCAAACATTTAAAATAAATTTAACTTCATAAAATGAATAGTTTTATGGTATATCAATTGTTATAAAATGGTCATTAGCGTCAAAAGAAAGAGCACAAATTAAACAAAAAGGATCTATTTAAGAATGACAAAAAGCGTAAATAGATAAAATGTGAATTAAAAAAAAATCAACAGTGGACAAGGCAAAATTAAGCCATCTTCTTCTAAAATTTGAAATCCTTTTTACTGAAAAGAATCTTCTTTAATTGGTCTTTTTCAATGCACTCTGCAAAGCAACACCAGATATAAACCAACAATATTTTTTATTGCAAACTTGAATATGAATCAATTAAATTTTGCTAGTGTTACTTACATTAAACCACTCAATTGAAGACATTCTTGCTCCAATGATCAAGCAGCAATACTTTTTTTTAAAGAGGAAAGCTATTTTAAAAGTTTGTCAATATGTACAAGGTATTGAAAATTTTGATGTGTAATACCTTGTATTGTCAAGCCTGACAGGTGCCACACCTTAGAGGAAGAAGTATAGGATTCTAGTTACCTTTGTAATTGAAGCCACCATATTAGTAACAGGTTGTTCTCCATCAACATCAGTAACAACAAAATTTTCTCCAAAATCACAGAAAATTTGGCTGAAAAGAAGAATAAGTGAAAAATCAGTAAGTTTTGTGATAATCTTTTTGCATTAAGCAAAGATAATTATAAAATTTTATTGGTAATAATGATTAATATCAAAAGTATTGTTTTTGTCATTTGATAGTTTCAGGAACATTTAGTTTTAATTCAAAAGATTGCATATATCAGTGGAGATTATATATATATATATATATATTTGAATCTTCAACAAAGAATCAATAATAAAAACCTAGCATTTAAGGTGGAAGGAAATAAGCAATATTTTTGGTGCATTATGCTATTTTATGAAGAATAAAAACAATTTAAAAGCAGGAAGATTTAGGCAGTTATGGATATTGTAGTGTATGAATGTTTTAAATGTGTAACTTTCTTGCCGAAAGAGCCTCCATAGACAGATCAATACCATACAATTTGGCAGGAAGTCAATATACTTAAAAATTAATTGCACCAGCTTTATGTTAGCGGCTTTGATGCTGTCTTTTCACAAAAAAAAACCCCAAAAAACTGTATTCCTCCTGCATGCAATTCACCAAGTAAACCCACCCAAGTAACAAGCAATTGAGAAGTAGACATATCAGAACAATGAATATGGCAATATTAGAAGGGAGTTTTTCTAATGAACTCAATCTAGACAACTAATCAATAAATGTGAACAAGTGCTGATCATGAGACTAACTGAAAGCAGCAATGGAGAAAAAGAATCCAGAATTTGTTAACAGAAATGGTGCAATAGTTTCTTTGGTAGTCAAGCTAAAATTATTATAGCTTGGCAGGGAACTTTAATCATTCATCTATTGTATTCAAAGCAGCATTACATTGGCCCCTTTCAGATTATCATTCATTCTGATCTTGAATGGAGAATAGAGACCAATCCTTGGAAAACAGCAAAAACTAGTAATTAGAACTGTTCTTTTCTGAGAAAGTTCCATTGTCCTAAACTTTTTATCTATCAAGTTGTTATCTGGAAGAAGGGAAGAAAAAAAAAAAAAAAAAAAAAAAAAAATGGAGAAAACCTTTTTAGGATAATCCAATAATTTAAATGAACGATGAATTCTTCCCGTTATAGTAATTGATATTTACAATAATAACAAATTTTTAAAAAAATACCCAAATAGTCCTTTGGTGCTGGCAACAATGAACTTCATTCCATATTTCCTGCAAAAGTCATTGATTCTCAGCTGTTCATCAAGACTGCTGTTAGATAGTACAACTACCTGTAATAATTCATTAAAAATTATAAATCATTAAATTAGATTAGTAAAATAAATTCTTTTAAATGAAAACATTAAACAAAAACCATAGCTTCATTTTAATTTATGAAATATTGAGTGATATTTTTCAAAGTACATTTATTGAATTTGCAGAAATGTACTGTCAAAGTTCCACAAATTCAATTGTGTGCAAGTTACTCATCAATAGGAAGTTAATTGACTTTTGATGCATTATATGCAGTATTATTATTACTAGTTATACAGCTTGGATTTTACAACAAGAGCATAATTCTAGTTATTTAGTTATCTTACCTGGAATTTCTTGAGGAATTCTTCAGTTAGGTCCCCGACATGGCAACTGACAGGTACATAATTATTAAGTTCTGCAAGGCGAGGGGCAGTAACTTCAGCTCTGTTCTTTCCAATATCTTCTTCACGAAGGAAAAACTACAAAAATAATCAAAAAGTATTTATACAAATAATTTTTTCATAAACAAAATGTTCATATTGCATTTCAAATATATAAGTTGTTTAACTCAATATAAAAGAAAAACGAGAATAAACAATCAATTGGTGTTATCTCCTGGCGAGTTGACAGAGCAATTGCTGGAGGGCTTGTCCACAAACTGAGAATACCATCAATCAGCTAAGTGACAAATACCAAATAATATATATATATATATATATATATTAAAACAGACCAGCTTTTTTTTTTTTTTTAATTCAGCACTCCGCATTCTGCCAACTCTCATGGTATAGTATTTTTTGGAATCGGCTGCCATTAGTTTGTTGAGTGGCTACAAGGGCAGTGCCATGTGTTTACAACTTTGCACAGCAACCAACAACAGCAGCGTTTTGGTGATATAGCCTTGCTTCTTTCTTATATATATATATACACTGCATATTTACCCATTCAGGATAAGTATATATTAATCTTTGGTTTACATTTTTTTTTTCTTGTTAAGTTTTTGTATTGGTATGAAATAAAAATGTTAAATCAGTTTTATTTCTTGTTTTAAGCTTTGTTCTACCTTTGATAACACAGCAATATATATGTGAAATGTGCTGGCAAGACTATGTTTATATAGTAGTTTTTTGTTTTTTTTATTAAGAAAAGAAAGAAAAAGATGGATGATTTTTGTTATTCATCAGTGGCCTGGTCCTAAGGCTACCGAATTAAAGAGGTCAGACTGTATAATTTTGTTCAGTTGGATTGTTATTTATTTATTCCCCTTATAAATGTACAGTTGTTTTTAAATCTTGGAAGCACTTTTTTTTTTTTTTTTTATTATTCCCTAGCAGATTTGCAATTTAGTTTTAGAAAATCATTAATGAATGCATAAACACATTTAATTTGTAAATGAGTAAAAATTTGCAAAGATTTACCTGAGAAGACAAGTCGGCCCATTCTGCACACTCTTGATCATGTATAGTGACAGATTTTACCCCTCCAAGAACAACATTTTTTGCAATTTCCACTCCAAGTCCTTTCATTCCAGAAATAAGGACATTTGAGTGGGCCATCCGACGCATGGCATCATGACCCAACACATACCTGCAGAGAGAGCGAAAAAAAAACAAACAAAAAAAACACATTAAGAAAAAGTTGCTAAAATCAAACTAAAAAGCATAAGAGGATTTTTCATTTAATATTGAAGATCAATTAAATGTAAATTCATAACTAAATTTAGTACAATTCAAAAATATCTGCAAATGAATGGCAAATATGAAACTTAAAATTACTTATAAGTTTCCCTTTTGGATTTTTTAAATAAAAAAAAAAAAGATATATATATATATATATATATATATATATATATGCTAATTTGATCAGCTGTTTTTGGCAGGGATCCCAACTGATAAATTTTCAGCACCCTCATTTCTGTCTAAACTAATGAAAATGACATCTATTTGGCACAAATATTTAATCTTCCATCTAATCTTGTTAATGCACTTAATGTTTCTCAGTCATTCACACAATGAACACCATAGTAAAAATTTCAAAGAAATGTCAGGCTTATTACCTATATATGTATACATATACACATGCCTGCCTATAAATAAAGGATTAAAAGTTTTATGGCATTGTCACAGAGGTAATTGCCCTTAATTTATATTGGAAAGTTCTTGAGTACCCTTCAGGCCTGAAAACAAACCTCCTTTGCCTACCTTGATACCAAAGTTAATCATCTCTAGTGGAAGGCTTGGAGCATGATTGTATATCTGATTAATCTCACAAATTTTCCTTTCATACAGATTTCTTTGTAGGCATTCCAAACATCTTACAAAAATGTTGCTAACCTATGTGCCTTTTCAAAATGAAAGCCAATCTTCTGAAATTATTACAACATTGTGTAAGGCTTTTTGCTACAATTGTCGAAGGTATTTTTTGTGTCTGAAAATGCCCAAGAAAATTTCCACCTGAATCAATGTTAACTATTTGTCTGAATTTCTTGATGAGGGGTTATTTATACTCTGCACAGTCAGACTAAAGTTCTCATCTTTGTTATGACATTTTGGTCATTGTGTTCTCCAGCATGCTTTAAGTATATGTCAATCTGAAAGGAGGTTTAACCCCCCCCTCCAAAAAAAAACAAACAAAACAAAAACAAACAAAGAATCAGATGTCTGATCAGGAGTCAGCACATATGCTTGGCCATTATGGCCTCCTCAGTAAGTGTAGCATAGACATAAATCTTAATAAAGAAAGAAATGTTAACAGAGGGAGCCAAGTTTAAGAGTAAGGCTTTAGCAGCATTTATGACAATAAGAACATTAATTATAAGGCTAACGTTCTACCTTCAAGATTATCTCACAGGACAATAGCCTAGAGGACTAAAAGCACATAGTATCTGTGAATTCAATCTCTGGGTGGGGTAGTAAAAAAAAAAAAAAAAAAAAAAAAAAAAAAAAAAAAGAAAAGATTGCTCGCCATGGACAGTGAAATGAGAATAAGCTATCAGTGTTGATTAAATAAGGGTCCAGTTTGAAGTTTCCTGAAGGTTACCCAGATTGACAAACAATTTCAACACAGAACCGCTAAAACATGATAAAGAGATACGAATTTAATTTTTATTCAACAGTGCCGATTTCAAATGACAGGCATATTTTGTTAGGCAATCTTAATAAAAAATCTCTTGCCCATCAAGAGACCTGCCAAAAAGATAAAAATAATAGATAACACAGCTTGAAATATCTCAAGATGCTTTATATTCTCAACATCTTTGCCAGAAAATTAATTGTCCCTGAATCTAGTCTATTTTTGTTCTGGTAAAATTCATTAAAACAACATTCAAGATTTTTCTATAAAAGAAAATGAAATCCAATAGTTGATATACAAGTCTATTTATGCATTCTGTGGCATCAAATCAAAATATATATATATAGTATGCATGCAAGCTTAGACATTGAAAAAGATGCTAGTCTCTTCTAAACAAGCAACATGAATTATCTCTTGGCTTAATCAACGAATAATCCTTCTAAGCTGACAAGAGTGATTGATGAAAGCAATTAATACAACCAGAGTAAATTAAAGAAGCTAAACACAATCAAGGGTTGGTATCTCACTGCTGTGGTCTGGCAAGATGTTAGAGAAAAACCTGCTATCACTGACAACATACCCCCAACCACTTCCTTATTAAAAATATTAAATATCTAACCTTTGAATTTCCAAATTAAAACATCTGGAATTGTTCTAGATGGCATATTTTATCAAAATTAAGTAATAAAAATTACAAGCATGGAAACAACAAAACACTAACTTTCAGATACCCAAAAGCTTCAGGGAAAGCAAGAGAGAGAAAGAGAGGGAGGAAAAAGTCCTGATTAAAAATAATTTTACTGGTTCTTGATGCATTTTGCAAAAAGTAGTTTCAAGTTTAATGTTTATTTTCAATTATAAGCAGAGAAGCTATTTTTAAAAAGTGTTTTTGCTTCCAAAAATATTTTCCTTTTCAAAAAGGGCTTTCAATGACTTCAATTTTAAAGTGTAATCATTTATGCATAATTTCAACTTTATAAATCAAAAAATTATGAAATTAAAGCGTATTGCCTAAATTCAGATCATAATTATTTAATTTATTGGAACAAGTTTTTCATGACGTAAGTTTAACCAATAATTTTGAACATATGGAAACTACATTTTAACAAAAAGTTAGTGTCCTTGTGCCAATTATATACAAAAAAAAAAGAGTTATATATATATATATATATATATAAAAGAGAGAAAAAGAAAGAAAAGGCAAATCAAAGATTATGACTTACAATTGTCTGGAGTACAAGCTTTCATCAATAGCATTCTGGTCTTCAGTACCATTCTTGGCCATATCAATCTGAAGACAAAAGGGTAAAAACATTACATTAGGTGTTATCCAATTTAAGAATCAATCAATACACAAACATTTTGAACATGCATGACTGATAAAACAGTTACTTTAACAGGGAACTAAAATGGTCAAAGTTAAATAACTTTACTAGCAACTGGTACTTTGTATTTTATGTACAAAACTGCCTTTTCAAGATACCATCTTCATTGAAATAAAGTTATTTCAATGAAGATGGTATCTTTGGCCAAAATTTCCACCAATACACTTTCATAGCAAAATGTGTACAGAGATATGCTTTGTGTAGCAAGCCACACACACAGTTAAATATAAAACTACTACTTTCTATGATTAAAAACAAGATCAAATGTTCTAAGTTTACAATCTTCAAACTTACAATAGAAGATTGGCTACCTTGCATGAACAAACCAAGCTATTCCACAGCCTGAGATATAATTTTGTGTCTTTTCCCACTTTCAATATATTAACCAGCTTTCTCTCTCTCTCTCTCCATAGAATTCCCAAACTATGGCAACACCCTATGTTTATATAGCTAAGAGGGGGAAAAAGAAAAAAAAACAACAACAACAATACGATGTCACTTCAAATAATCCTAGATCAACCAAAGAGATTTTTCACTTTCTGCTGATTAAAAAAAAAAAAAAAAAGTTTTCAGTTTCTAGAGATCCATCTATCATTTATAGACAATATATAGGAAATGAATATTTCTTTTACTGGCAGTTTCTCTTTTCATCAATAATTCATCTCAAATTTAACAGCAAGTCTTGTGCTGCTCAAACTAATAATTCTGGCAGAAATGTGGGTGTATCTACTGGATAATATAGACAATGTAAAATGCTGCCTGCACATTCAAGCAATGACACCCTATCAGCAGATAAGGCTGCCATTAAGGAAGACTAGTTGATCTTTCTAATCTTTTAAAAATATTTCATAATATCAAGAACCTTAATCTAGAAGAGGAGCATACAAAACATCTGAACAAAACAAACACTATTCAATTGACTGGAGCTTAAGAAAGAACTATTTTATCTCATTAGTTATAGGAGTTACTAACAGGTTTCATTTTAAATGATAATAGTTGCTTTTTATTCTGTTCATGTTTCAAAGGCAATATTATGCATAGTTTGACTATCAAATTGACCTGACCAATTAGGGATCAGTCTTCTTAACACATGACTAATGAGAGATAGTGGATACATATTGAAATTAGTTTACAGTAGCTCAAAATAATATCGAGACCAACATACTTAACAGATGTAGATGCAGAACTTTCAACCAAAACCATTTTCCATAATCTATTTTATTAATTATTCATTTTTCAAATGTTTCATTGCCAGTCAGTCATTAGCATAAATGTCAATTCAATCAATTCTATTGTTGCACTATGAAAAACAATTATCCAAGAATAGATAGTAGCAGATATTGAGCAAAGTTCAACAATTTAGTTATCTGGAAAGCATACTAACAGAGGATGGAAAGTGCATCAAGATAGTGATAGATGCCTCCAAAAAGCTGAGCAAAATATTAAGAAACAGAAAAACATCATTAGAAACAAAGAAAAGGGTTCTGAACTGTTATGTAGTACCAGTCCTCCTCTATGGCAGTGAATGCTGGTCAATCTCCTCAGACAAAAAAAAAAAAAAAAAATGTAGTTCTACACTATGGACTGAATATGTGAGCAATGATGAAGTTCTAGAGACAAATAGCAACAAAAAAGACACTTAAGTATAAAAGAGTTGAAATTTCTGGGACACATAAGGAGGAAAGAGGGCTGGGAAAATTTAATACTCACAGGATAGATTGAAGATGAGAGGGTCAGAGGAAAACAATGCACAACCAACCTGGCGAGCTTGATGGAAGAGCAAGGTTGGGAAGAGATGACAAAAAGACAAGTTATTAAGAGCTACAAAGGACAGGAAATTGTGGAAAGCCATAATTGCCAATGTCCTGAGGGACACAACACAGAAAAGCTTCAGGAGTATTATATAAAATTGCACTCATGATTTTCATAGCTTGCTACTGGAAAGTGTGTGTGTGTGTGCGTGAATCAGATGGAGGTCTAAAGAAAAATACCTTGTTAGATTTTATTACTTTGTAAGTGTGCAGTCTTAAAACACACACACACACACACACACAAAATGACAAACCCAGAAAGAACAAAGTGAACGGTTTCTTTTAAACATGTCAGCAAATCTTTATGCAAACTGACTGTCTTAAATCCACGGAACACAATCTAGCTTCAATAAAGCATTACTACTATTTATCTTCAGTAACAATCCATTTCACAGAGATAACATTTTGATCTTCACCCAGGGCTGGCACTACCCATTCCTGAAAACTCCCAACTGCAAAGTGGGACACAGAGGGAAGGAAATCAACATGTTAATAAAGTGAGAAATCTCTAGTTCTAACATTGTCTTTTCCATACACATACTTATCCTTTATGTTCTTTATTTTGCTTTTCTTTGCTGCTATAATTCCAACATAAAAAAAAAAAAAAAATACTAAAATTCAGATTACTAATTTTACTGAAATCAATCCAACAAGTACTGCTATTTAATACTGTATGAGTCTCTATATATGTTAATAGCTTTCCCATATTCATCACTATCAGTAAGTATTCAAAACTAAATTATTTTTATTTCCAGTATATCTAAAAACCTTTTATACAGACACAGAAAGCTTTACAGAACCTAAAAATATCGTATCAGATTTATCTTGGTAGTTCAATTGATAACAAAGTTAAGACCATTTAGTTGGTCAGAAGTTTTTGTCGTGTGTGCTATTGGGACAGAAGCCAATTTTAACACTGTATAGCTGAAGATACCAGCTTCAGTCTAGTTAAAAATCAAATGTAATGTCATATAGGTAGTCTTAAGAAAAGAATCATAATACTTATGGAATCAATAATTATTAGAGCAGAACAGGCTAAATATTGAGAAAAAAAAGCATTCTCAAAAACAAAATAGTTAAAACATGACACTGAAGGACAGTTTTGACTGTCCATATAAGTTTCATGAAAACTTAATGGCTTGCACTTCTTGCTATGATTCACAACAGAGATAAAAGTTAATCTTTTTTTCATTTGTACACCAATAAAAAACATATTTACACCATGTACAAACCACTAGTAGCACAATTTGACAAAATTGTGACAAAAGCAGGTCAAACGTATATCATCCCGAACTTGCCATAAAAAAAAAAAAAAAAAAGGATCCATTGTGAGGTACATGCCTAAAACTTTGAAACTTTACTAATTTTGGGATGTGGAATTCAACAAAACATTAATATACAGGGTACCCCCCCCCACCATTTTGTAGTTTAATCCCATAACCAGTTCTCATTTAAATGATCTCAAATTTGAACAAAATGTGTAAAAAACTAAGTCATCTGTGTGGACTTATGCCAGTGATAATGACAATGTGCTGTTGAAATGGCCACCATGATCACCTGACACAACACCTTGTTATTTTTTTTCCTATGGGACTTTGTGAAAGGATAAGTCTATACCCCCACTCTTCCTACAAGATTAGAGAAACTTGAGCAGCAAATGTCATGTAAAACATGCTACAGCATGTTTGGCAGGAGCTACCAACTTGATGTGTATCATGTCACATGTGAAGCTTTGTGAAATTGGTTATAAAATCTAGATCCCTTTGAATATCTTGTTTGAATTTGGATAAATCTTATTGCTCAACATGGAGGCTATTTAATTTTGTTTGCTCGAGACATGTAATTACTCAGATATTCACATTTTAAATTAAGTCATTTGGGGGGGGGGGTCCCACCCTGCATAATGTAAATAAAATTTTAGTGGTGATATATTTCTAAGAGTAAGTAAAGCTGAAAAAGCTACTGATATTTCTCTGTAATATGAATACCTTTTATCATAGATCTATATAATTTTGGAAAATTGTGAAATTATGCAATTTTTAACCTGTCAAACAAGGACTGTAATGACTACAAAACTTTGAAATTGAATTCATGAAATGAATCATTGGTCAAGCCTTCAAACAAATGCTTATTAAAAAGCTTTTAGCTCATTCATATTAAAAAAAAAAAAAAAAAGTATCAAAAGAATGTTTTTTTTCCCTTGACACCACTGCTATTTTAACTACCTTTATGTTTGTTTTAAAGAGCAATATTAAACACTATTTAGATGCAAGAATTATTTTTTTTTTACAACATTCTAAAAACTAATACAATTCATGGTTTATCATTTATCGTTTTATAAAGTTTGAATCAATTGGCAATTAGCCAATGTTTTGCCAACCATTACAAAGAATACACAATTCACTAGCTTTGCCAATTACTCTAGACAAGGTGATTAGTGTCCATGCTTCATCAGCCAGCACTTGGTCAAGAAATCTATTGGCAGATTTTCTATGCACTTTTAGAAAAATTAGCAATGATTAAAAGGAGGTGGGGGTAGGAGTAGATTTGAAACAAAAAATAATTTGCTATAAATTAATTTGGGAAGAAAATGTATAATGTCAAGAAAAATCATGTTTATTTAAATTTTCTCGTTCTACATTTCATAGATATTTTTATAGGTATCTCCATGAAGTAAAATTGCCCCAAAGTTTTATTGCAAAAATCCTTTATGTTATTCACAGGGAAAACCAAAGTATTTTTTGATCATTTCATTATATCGTTTTTAATTCTTTCTAGAATGTTTGAAAATTTTGGTTAAAAATCTTTTTCTTGTGTCAATGGTGGACTAAAAATGAACATAGAAAATTTTAGCATTTTTATTCGTGGTGAAAAAGACATTTGGAAATTCTTGCAAAAATCAAATAATTGTCATATTTTAATGAAACTTAATGAAATTATTTTAGAAATTCATTTTTTTTTAAATTTTTTTTTAAGTCCTATCCACTTACTTAATTTTATGAAATTGAGAAATTAAATGTTTATGGCTTAAATGTTTATATTAGTTACAAGCAGAACTTTGAGAATTTAAATCAATTTCTTTTTATAAAACAGAA